GTTTATTTCCTGCTTTGGAGTCTGTGGCTGGCTTGGTTTTTTAAGTTGGAAAGTTCTGTTTTACACATAAAACTGGGATTTTGATTATTTTCTTTCTCTGGCTGTAACAGTTATGAAACTGGGATTTTTACTGCTATAGAAACAGTTCTGCTTGGAGAAAGAAAAAAGAAAAAGCCTGTCACTTCTTGTTATTAGAACTACTTGCACTTTTTTTCCTGAGCTTGCTTTCTTCCTTGCTGTCTGAGCCAGAATATTCGGTTAGATGGATTTTTGGCATAACATAGTTTTTATATTATCATCTAACTGTGGAACTGTAATTCTGGTGTTTTCTAATTCTTGAAAAGGGCTGGTTAAAACATTCTGTTACTGGTTTGATAGAAAGATGTGAGCAGCAAATTTGTGTACCATTGTCTGTTTTTTTTTGTATTTGAGTGCTGTGGAACAGTTAGTTTGGGCAAGTTTAACTTCTTTCACGTCAGATGTCAAGATTTCTTCCCTATGTTGACAACTAGTCTTTATTTGCTGTTAACGCTTTGATTTCAACAAGGCTATGATTTCTTTACTTCAGCTTACTTTTTTTAAAATACTCTGTGTGTGTATTTTAGGAAGATGGGAAGTAGAAAAGCTCAAAGAAAATGCAGTGCCTGGAGACAGAGGATTAGTGTTAAAATCCGTGGCAAAGCATCATGCAATATCAGCTATGCTAACAAAGGCATTTGTTTTTGATGATAAACCTTTGATTGTTCAGTAAGTAATTCCTCAGATTTTTTTACTTACTATGTATTATATTAAATTCTTAAAGTCCAGAAAGTAATATGAATCCCTGTAGAGAAATACTGAATTCCATATATCATTGACTTATCATATCCAGAGCTATCACAACTGTATGTATGGATGATTTTATTGAATCATAGAATATGCTGAGTTGTAAGGCACTCATCAGGGTCATTGAGTCCAGCTCCTATCCCTGTGTAGGGCACCCCAGCAATCACACCATGTGCCCGAGAGCATCGTCCAAACCCTTCTTGAACTCAGGGAGGCTTGATGCTGTGACCAGTTCCCTGGGCAGCTTGTTCCAGTGCTCAGCCACCCTCTGGGTGAAAAACCTTTTCCTGATATCCAACCTAAGCCTCCCCTGATTCAGCTTCCTGCCATTTCCCCAAGTCCTGTCATTGGTTACAGGAGTGAAGAGATCAGTGCTTGCCCCATGTCTTTCCCTCTAGAGGAAGCTGTAGACTGCAATGAGGTCACCCCTCAGCCTCCTTTCTCTCCAAGCTGAATAACTGACCTCAGCTGCTCCTTGTAAGTCATCCCTTCCGGACTCTTCACCTTGTGGCTCTCATCTGGATGCTTTCCAATAGCTTGATGTCTTTTTTTTATATTGTGGTGCATAATCAAGTAAGATTGTAGTAAAAGTAGTAGGAAGTGGTATTTTAACTCTTCTGAAATGTTGTGGTTTTTTTTTTCACAAATCTAATCTTTTACAAGATGACTGAAAAAGCAAATTAATTTTCAGTCTTACTCTCAAATCTACATGATATGTAGCTTGAGTACAGTGTTTTTCCACTTGCAGAATACTTCTGTGTAGCTCCGTAAAATAAACTTGAATCTTGAACACATGATAGCAGTATTAGTGATGATGAGCAATATGGCAATATAACTACTTTTTCCTGATATCCAGAACTTACTTTATTGTACTTACAGACATATCTAAATAACTCCTCTGGCTAAATACAGCATGTCATACAGGAGCTTTCAAAAATGGCACGAGCTTTCTAGAAGTCTTGCCCATTTCTACTCTACTTTTATATTTGCATGTTGATTGATACCACCCTGAAACTTTTTTTACTGTGATACCAACTGTAGCAGTTGTTACCATGGTATTTTTTGACTGACACTGCTGCTGTGTTAGTGTTTGTGGCAATTCAAATCTTTTATTCACGTAGAAGTGTTTTGGCAATAGTGACTAATACACAGTCCTAATGTATTTGTATTTCAAACTTGATTTGTATTTGTCTAATACTTGGAATGTTTTTACCACCTTGCTCTTTGCCCAGATATGAAGTGAATTTTCAAGAAGGCATTGACTGTGGTGGTGCATATATCAAACTTCTCTCCAGTAGTGATGACTTGAATTTGGTATGTCCTGTTACTTAACATTTACTGTCAGTTGTTCATTTGAAGAATGCAGAATTGTTCTTGTGAAATGTCAGTAAGAAACGAATTCCTAATGCTTCCCAAATGTTAAAGCGGAAGATTGGGCAAGGTAACAATATACATATTATTTAGTATATATACATAAAACCTTTGGCGTTGTCAATTTTTTTTTTACTGGTGGAAAAATTGGATACTGTTATTTTTGTTATAATTTCCATTTATTTTTATGAAACTTACAGATAGTCTGAAATTTAAAGTAAGATCTGTATTCACACAAGATACCTCAAAATGTGAATTTCAGAAGATGAGAATGAAGAGTTTGCTGTGATTACAGACTCATTTAAAATAATACATTTTGTCAAAATACATATTTCAAGGAGAAAACTTCCAGGAATCAAATGTCAAAATGTCTTCTTCCTTCAATTCATTGCTTCAGAATACAAGGCATAATGTTATTGTGTTTTTCAAATACAAAGATCATAAATAGTTGTAGTGTACTGACATATCTGAACAGCTCACTGTAACATACTCTGAAGGAGAATAACTGTTACCAGGTATTTGCAGGGTGGTTTATGGTTGCTACTTAATGTGGAGTAAGAAGATGGATAAAATACTGAATAATAATATCCTGGGTTTTATCTTTACTGGGAAACAAAATTGATGTGAAAGCCAGTAACTAGTTCCCTTCCACCTCTTAGTGTCATGTTTGTACATGGTTATATGTATTTGGGTGTTTTGATTTGTGACCAGCATTTTTCACTTAACATAAGAAGGTCTAAATAAATGTATTCATCTTCCCTTGAAGAGGCTTAAGTGATCTGTATGGTTAGTCTGTTTTCTGACAGCAGCTCAAGAAGACTGTTGAATTTCTTTCATGATTTACCCTACCAGTTTTCAGTTACTTTTTAGAAAAAGATAACTATGCTGTATGCCACAGCATATTGGAAAAGAAGTACCCAAAATAACTTCATAAAATGTACAATATAACACATGCTCAGCTTTCTTGCTTCTACAGGAATACTTTTTTGACAAAACACCTTATACTATTATGTTTGGACCAGATAAATGTGGAGAAGATTACAAACTACATTTTATCTTCAGACATAAGAATCCAAAAACTGGAGAATATGATGAGAAACATGCAAAACGTCCTGATGTAGACCTAAAAAAATTCTACTTGGACAAGAAGACACATCTGTATACTCTTGGTATTGTTTAATATTTACAAGTTTTAATTGGAAAGGAGAGATTGAAAATGTGTTTCTGTCTGCTGACGCTTTGCATTTGAGTCTGCTTTTTTGTTTGTAATAGTTTGTTAATTCTGAGGGGTGGCTGCTTAATGATTTGAGCATGAATGATATAATGACTGGGCTTAAATAATACAATGACTGAGCATAACTGCAGGACGTAAGTGGCTTTGAAATGCTGCCATTTAGTATACAATTACAAGAAAAAAATGTATCAGCTCTAGCCAGCCTTTAGTGTGAAGCATTAATACTTCCAGTACTTATTATGAAAAAAATATTGCTAAGAAAGATATTAAAAGCCCCCACAGCTGTACAATATTCTAGGCAGGCACTAGAGTGGACAGGAATGCAGTTCAATCTGCATCATGCTGCACACAGCTTTCCTATACCTGTCCAGTGTTCTTAACTAGCACCTGCATCAGCAGCAGCGTGTCAGACCAGATATGTTACCATGTTCTCTGCAAATGAATGAAAATGGTCTGATTTTAATCCATGGGTCATCTCTTTCTGTACAAATGAACAGTATCACAGAATCAACAAGGCTGGAAATGACCTTTAAGATCATCAAGTCCAGCCTGGGACCTAACATTACCACATCAGCTAGACCATAGCACTAAAAGCCACATCCAGCCTTTCCTTGAACACCTTCCAGGGACAGTGCATTCACCACTTCCCTGGGAAGTCCCTTCCAATGTCTAATCATCCTCTCTGTGAGGAAGTATTTCCTAATACCTAACCTAAACTTCCTCTGGAGCAGCTCGAGGCCATTCCCTCTTGCCTTGTTGCTAGATGCCTGGAAAAAGAGCCCAGCCCTCACCTGACTACAGCCTCCCTTCAGGTAGTTGAAGAGAGTGATAAGGTCCCCCCTGAGTCTCCTCCAGGCTAAACAACCCCAGCTCCCTCAGCCTGTCCCTGTATAGCAGAAATGAAAGTTTTATTTCTTAGTTCTTCTTTCCCCTGCTTTCTAATTTCTGAGGAAGGATAAATAATCAGAAAAGAATGGGCTCATCCTTGGCATACTGCAAATCCGGCAAAATTGGCTGCACTTTTCAACTTCCATTGAATAATAATGGAAGGTGTGTTCAGCTGCTGTGTCGTGGACAAACTTACTGTTCTTTAAAATTAATTGCCAGAGTGTGCCATAGCAGACTTTCACTTTATATAATAGGAATAAGCGAAAAAAATTCACATTGTTCTTGTGGTAAAGGAATGCATGTGTTCCTGTTTTTGAGCTGTTCATTAGAAACTATGATTAAAGATACTGAAACTTGGATTGCATTTACTCTGTTATGGTTGTTCAAAGAGACTCACAGAGCTGTGTGGTTCTAATGCTTTATATGACTGATAACAAGTTTAAAAATAAACTCTTTTCATTGTATCTAAAGTGACACGGGGAGTTAGTTTTTGCATTTATGGATATTTGGTACTGATGAAAACTTAGGCTGCTAGAACTTTGCTAGATATTATCAAACTGTCATTATGAGACTGGTTTTAATCACATTTTTCTAAAATTTATAGAAGTGGAATAGTATTTACTTTGAATTAATAATCTTTGTCGTGTTGAATGGACATTTGAGAATACTTGGTAAGCATTTATAAATGTGCTTATTGGTTATTAGAAATGGATCTGGATACAGTGCCTTTTACTGAGTGGCACTGCTCCGTTCTGTGACACTGGCTTCCGAGTGACTCACACTCACTGAAGAGAATTTTCTCTATTTGCTGTCTGATTTGAATTGGACAAAATTTTGCTTTGATGTTCCTCCAGCTGTGTTAATGACACAGCCCTTGTGTTTCCATGTTTTCAGGTGTAAAATTGTGATTTGGTAGCAGAGACATCTTTTAGGGCAAAAGTTTGTCTTTTATTGTCTGTGTTTTAAAAAAAATAAAGCAGAATTTTAGCCAAGAGGTAGGTTTTAAAAAAATCTCTTAGTATGTGCTTGAATGTGTTTCAGCAATTGAATTTGCTAGGAGTTTCATTTTGAGGGGCCTGATACTGGTCGTAAATCATTTTCACAGTAGCAACTTTCATGTTTTGTGGCCAGATCCAGTACCTGGTTGCACAGTCTGTCTCCTGCTCTGCTAGTGAGGATCCTGTTGGTGGTTATTCGTCTTAAGTCTGTGCTTATTCTATATTATATAGGTTTTGGTTAAAGATATTTGCAAAATGAATGTGTCCTATATTTCTTTAATACAAATTTCTTCAATTTAGTGTTAAAACCAGATGATACATTTGAAATCTTAATTGACCAGTTGGTTGTCGGTAAAGGAAGTCTTCTTGAGGATATGGTTCCTCCAGTAAACCCTCCCAAAGAAATAGAGGACCCTAGTGATAAGAAGCCTGATGACTGGGATGAGAGACCAAAAATACCTGATCCAAATGCTGTCAAACCAGATGACTGGTAAGGAGAACATTTTTATTTGTACAGTACCTTTTACATGGAGGTTATTCACTTGAAAGATTTGACTGGTTTTATTTTGGTTTTTGCTAATGACAATTGGGATACTTTTCACTGCTGAAAACACTAAAGTTTGAAAACATAATTGAAGTGGGCACAATGATGTGGTCATCTTCCAAGGAAAGCAATAACTGTGTTTTTTCTTGTTTTTTTACCCCCTATTACTGCAATTGATAACTAAGATTACTATACCTGAAAGATTAGGAACAGGGATTTTTTTTTCATCATATAATCTTCATTTACATTCCATGATTTCTTCCTCCTTCTTTGTGAACTACTATTGATGTGGCTACTCAGAATTCTGAGAAGGCAAAAACTTGATGGGAAGATCTGGCTGACAGCTGCCAGTTGATGGCAGCAATTTCCGAGCTAAGTAGTACTTTGAAACGATGTAAATATAATTCAGGTATTTATAAACAGATAATTGGATATCTAATTTTCATGATCAGTGTGTCTGTTTCTCTTGTGCCTTTGAAAATAATCTCTTTCATGTCAATTACAGCCCTTTGAACAGAACACTGGTTCAATGTCAGGCTTCTGTATTTTCTAACATACATCTGTAATTGAAGGGATGAAGATGAGCCTTCCAAAATAGAAGATCCTGATGCTGTTAAGCCTGAGGGATGGCTTGATGATGAACCACAGTATGTTCCAGACCCTAATGCAGAAAAACCAAAGGACTGGTAAGAATTTGATCAGTTGATACAGGTTATTCATGTGTCTTGTATGTAAGCCTGCCTATTCTCTGTGGCAAATTCTGGGCTGTAGATCAGAAGTCAATCCAAATCTTGTTGTCTCTTGAATTACTAAGTTGGGACGTGCAAGGTATGGTCAAATATTTCTTGTTTTTGGGGGCTGCTTTTAGACAAAGATGAACATGTTGATTGTGGTTTGTTTTCTGAAGATATATAAACAAAAACAGAATATGAAGGACCTGCTTGAAAGAATTTGTTACAGTGTTTAACCATGAAACAATTTAAGTTGATAACTTGAAATGATCATACAATAGTGTCAAATACATTACTAAGCGTATCCTGGAGAAGTGTTTCAAGCTGTCTGCAGATGTAGAAATATAATGGTAATCAAACATGTTGTGCTAGTTACATCCATGTGAGCTTTAAACAAAAAAAAAAAAGAGGCCATAGCAATCCTTTAAAAAAAAAAGTGTTTATACAGTTGGATAAAGTTGTGTGAACTGATCAAAATTCTGAGGTTGTTACAGAAGAATGTGTGTGGACCCCAACTTGAGACTGACTGCTAGTGTTCAGACCAGTCCAATCTCATTTCAGTTGTTTCTAATTTATCTTTTCTTCCTACAGGGATGAAGAAATGGATGGGGAGTGGGAAGCCCCTCAGATCCCTAATCCAAAGTGTGAGACTGCACCTGGTTGTGGACACTGGGTGCGTCCCATGAAGAATAACCCAAAATATAAAGGAAAATGGAAAGCACCTATGATAGAGAATCCTAACTATCAGGTAATAGCATTATTGTAGAGTTCAACAGAGCAGGCAAGTCAAAGTAGTGTATTTATCTAGGTTTTTTTACAGTATATTTATATTTCAGAATGAGTCTGAATACCTAAACACTAAGCTGTTTTAAAATTTTCTTGTAAGTATACTGAAAAATATAATTGCTTCCTGAATTAAAATAATTGATCTGTTAAAAGTTACTTTTGCAACAATTTGCACTGGTATCACTTACTTAATATGCTCTGTATAGTTGTATTCTGAATATGTTATAATTTAATAAAATATTTCTCTTTTTTGTTGAGGTTTTAAGTGTGGGTCTTATAGGTGAACATTCTTTTTTTTTTTTATTAAAAAAATAAAATCTTTCAGTAAGCATATGGACTTACCAGTTCATTTTTAGTGGAAGCCTCTATTTTGAATAATAAAATTCCTCTTCTCCAGATATGAGATGTAATCAGTTCCATATTCAAGAGAGTTACTTCGTGTTAATTATGGCTGGGAAGTACTTGAATCTGATTTCTTTGAGCTTGAGATCCTCTTCACATTTGTAAACAAAATTTGGCTCTAATTTGCACAGGTATCATAAGGCTGAATTTTCCTTCCCTAAAATTTCTGTAACAGTTCTGGTTACAGTAGCTGTCACTTTATATATACATATATATCCCTATTGGAAGGGACTGTGTACATCATGGGATGTAGTTCCCCTGCAGTCTTAGGCCATCACACAATAGATGTTTACCTCAGAAGATTCCATCACTGGCCACAAAATATTGACCAGTGCCCTTATGAAGTAACACCAATGTCTTACTTTCCTGCAGTATTAGGAATTTTATTTCCTAGACTTAATCTAGGAAGTGTAGAAAGCCTGTGCTTGGAACCACCAGTTGCAGAAAGAATGGAGATAACTGACTGCACAAGCTGTTACTGTAACCGTGCATGGACAATAATTTCAAGAGATCTTCCCTTAGCCAGAAAATTGAGATTAATCTGCAAAAATCCTGTCAGTTATTTCCAGTTCTGTTCTTATGTAGGTTAAAAGCTACTGCTTATCTTTTTTAATAATATATTTAAAATAATCGGGAAGTTCTAATTATTTTAGCATTTGTTTCACAGTTTGTTTCTTAGTGATGTGTAGGTAATGTGATTCATATTTTTTTCCTTAAAAGGGACTCTGGAGCCCTCGAAAAATACCGAACCGAGACTATTTTGAAGATCCTCACCCATTCAAGATGACCACTATCAATGCTATTGGTTTAGAACTCTGGTCTATGACATCAAATATCTACTTTGATAACTTCATTATATGTTCAGAAAAAGAAGTAGCAGATCGTTGGGCAGCAGATGGCTGGGGCTTGAAGAAATTTGTAGCAAGTGCTAATGAGGTATAAGCTTTAGTTTGATCTTGAAAGCCAAAAGTAGTGAGGAAGATAAGCTGTTGGAAGAATTTTCTGCCAGTTAATGCTGACAAAATATTAATTTGTCTGCAATTAGTAATCATGCTGAGTAACTATGATAGTTTTTTTCCTCAGAGTTTAGCTTTTTACCTTTCCCAGATTAATATAATCTTGACATTAAAAAGGTGCAACATTTTACTTAAATATCTAGCAAGAAATTGGCTTCATTATAGTTAAAGAGTCTTCTCTGTTCATGGTGATACTAGAAATTGGAATACCTGCCAACAAACGGCAGCTGAGTTACTTGCACTCAAAGATCTCTTTTATTTTTTTTCTTATTTTCTTTTGTCTTGTGGCTAACTCGATTATGTATGTTGCTTAGGTGTTTCCTGCCTATGAGGAATGGGTACAATGATCATCTGGGGTTTTTTCTAATAACTTTAGGCCTTTGACTGCTTAGATGTATATTATGCAGCTCTGAAAATAGTGTGCTTATGTGCATGTATGCTGCGTCTGTCCTATTTCTATGTGTGCATCCACATTTTTTGTGATACTGCACTTGGTCAGCTGCCACAGTTTTTCTAGATCCCTTCCCTGTGCTGTAGGAGGAACTTGTGCAGACATACAGGATCATGAGCCCCTCTAGTGGCTGCCTTCACTGACTACAGTTTCTTTCTTACTCCTTTTTTCTTTGGTTTAGTAGCAAGAGCAGGCCTGTAGTTGTGGGAAAGAAACGGTGGCAAATGACAGCTGCTGTTTGTCACAGGATGAGCAAGTAGCAACAGTGTATCTGCAATTAGGAAAGCCACCTCTTCCCACAACCTTGTCCTTTTCTGAAATGTTTGGTTCTATGTCTGGACCTTTTGTCTGGACCCCTACACACAGTAGCAGAAAATCCCTCATCTCCCCTCACTGCGTTGTGCTTCTCAATCTTCCTGCCTTGGTTGCTGATGTGACCTTTCCAGAGGTCTTACTGGCCCAGGCACCTGCCTACCTACATCTCCTGTATACGCCAGAAGTGGGCTGGGAGAGGGCTGTCGAAGGAGAGAGCATGGTAGTACAGATGGAGCAAGGTGCTGCTGCTCTGAGGTTAGCATCAAAGTACATTGCTTTGGGAGCTTTCAGCTGAGATAGCACAGTTAGTAGCTCAGAAGAGTGTAAAGTGTGATGTTGCCAAGACTCCAAATGTTGCTTTATAAAATTGAGTAGTGGCCAATACAGTATGTTTGAAGTGCCAGGCTGGTTCCTTCTTACTCAGTACCTGTTATTTATTCACAGTCTGTCAAGTTGTGACTTTGCTAGTATTGAAATCCAATAGTGTTTTAGTCACTAAAAATCAAAGGTAAAGAGTTTTCTTTGGGCAACATAAAGCTTAAAATATATACAGTACATGTTATAAACCTACTTAAGTGTTGAGAAGGATGTGAACTCAACATTTTTTTTTTATTTTTTTTTTAACATAGCCAGGTATGTTTAGTCAACTGATGACTGCTGCAGAAGACCACCCGTGGCTCTGGATTCTTTACATCTTGACTTTAGCTCTTCCTGTTGGTCTAGGTGTGTTGTTCTGCTGGCCAGCAAAGGTTAGAGATTTTTACTATTTTTTTTGTTTTATTCTTAATACTTTATTTGAAAGCTCAGCATCTGTACAACAATGTGCACTTCCAAAGTGCCATTACTTAGCTTAGAGTGGCTGTTGTGTTTCATTCTTAATGCAATTTTCTATTAAAATTGATTTTTAATTTGTTGTAGAAAACAGATGAAGATATTGATTTCAAAAAATGTGATAGATCTAAGATAATTACAAAGGAAGAATTAAAACAAGAGGGAGAGGAGTTAGAAGATTATGAATTAGAAGAAGAAAAAGAAAAAGAAGATACTGCTGAAGATGGTAAGATGGGCAAGGCAGCTTGCAGTTTGATTAAATACAAAGACATGAATAGGACTACTTCATGGATTGCATTGCCAATAATTGCAACCAGTTATCTTAGAATATGCAAAAACTGTTCTGAGTCCTTTTCTTCTTTTTTACAACCTCCAGCCAGGAGCATTCATGGCTAATAGCTCTTTGATAGAAACAAGAAGAAAGTAAGGATCTTTTCTTTTTTTCACTTTCAAGAAATTAATATGCATCTGACAGACTTTTTATGTTTGTAGACAGGCATATTTTCTCCCTTCTAAATATATTTAACACATTGGAATGATTCCAATATGTGGACCTGAAGTACTCAAAACTGTTCTCTTTAAAATGTGTCTGGAATAGCTTTAAGCCTCTGACATAAGTCTTTCTGCTTACTCCCCAGTGGGAGTGTTGTATGTTAGACTATTCTGTTGGTCACTGATTTTAGTTAACTTCTGTTAAAGCCTGAAAATATATTAGACTGGAAATATTCAAGTCTGCTGCTTCCTTTGTGTTGCTTTCTAGCAATGCATTGCATACCTGCAGAGGGTGGTCCCCTTGCCCAAAGGGAGAAATCCGGGCTTCAGGTTGAGCTATACTTTGGCAGCCAAGGATAAAATCATCTTGTGTTACTGCATCAAAAATTACTGGTACTGTTCATCTATGGCTTTGTTGTTCTGCAGAGGGGTAGAATCACCTCCCTGGCACTGCTGGCTGTACTTACTTTAATTTAGATATGATTTCCTGTTTACTCTTGATGAAAAGTACTGCAAAGGGTACTCAATGTCTAGAAATTCTCGCTTGAGAACCTCTGTTTAAAGTAAAGGAAGAGACTTGGCAAACCCCAGTAACTTTTCTTTGACTTAGGCTGTGGTTGCTGGGGTTTAGCTCTTATAATGAGTATAGATACCTAAAATGCACATGGGAGTGCCAGCTTGTACTGAAGCCCAGAGTGGAAATCAAAACAGTTTGGTGCCTGGCCTACTTCACAAAACATTCAGAACATAGAGATTTAGTTAATCTGGAGGGCCACCTATTTGCTGATTGGAGGGCCTCCTAAAATTCACAATATTTGGTGCATGCACTATATTTTAGTGCAGTGACATAGTCTCAATAAGAAAGTAGAAGCCACCTCTCTGTTGCTTTGCATGTAGCTTGTACAAAGAATTCTGGAGAGAAAAAAATACATTTTGCTAGTTTTTTGGTTTTTTTCTCTCTCCAGTCCATTTCATCTCAAAAGTCTGACACCAGGTCTCACAGAAAGCTTACTGCTCTTTGTGAACAGTTTTATCATAGCAGTGCAAGTTGGACATACTTTGAGTGAGCTTGAGTGCTTTTCTGAATAGTGTCTGACCTTGCAGTAGGGCATAAGAAAGGGCTAAGCAGAGAGCTGCTTAGTCCTCAACCAAAACAGTATGCCAAAATAATTCCCTGCTGAAAAGGGGAGTTGTAGGCATCCCCCATGGTGGATGATTGGTAACTGCAGTATAAGTCTGAATTCAGTCAGATTTGGAATGCCTGAGTTGTCCTGCTTTGGACTCCAGTCTCAAAACTGTGTAGTACAGTACTTGGATCTAAGGACTTCCTTAAAAGAAACCAATTTAAGGTCATAATTTTAGTCAGTTGATTGTAAGTATGAAGAAAGTATGTGCTGTTGTGAAAGAGACTAAGCTGAACCTGTTAAAATTGGTTATTAAATATGAAAGTGATCAATTTCTACTAATTCATAAGAATTCTACTCTCTGTATCACAGACATGGTTTTATGGCTTATTTTCAACAAGCAGTTTGTTCTAAAGCTGAAATTGGCTTCTTTTCCTTACTACTGTGTCTAGAAATAGTGCCTTTTTAATACAGTTCTGTTTAAAAAGTAAGATTCTTTTCTTCTGCAGAAGATGAGGGTGAAGGTGAAGATATTTATAACGCAGAAGAAAATGAAGTTGCAGATGGAAGTCAAGAAGAAGGTTATAAGTCAAATAAATCTGCTTCAGAAGATGAAGTAAGTTTATGCTTTTCCCCGTCTTCTTCTCACCGTTGTCCAACATTCCACTTTTAACAAAAGTCACTTAACTACAAGAGGTTTTTTTCTGCTGAGCTATAAAAAACATCATGAGGTGAAGATGTGTTTTCGAGTTTGACATCTCAAATGCTCTGTATAGGTTTTTGAAATGTCTCCTCCCGTGTAACTGTACCTGTAAAGTACAGGTACAGAAGTGATCATGCAGGTCTCTAAACATGGAATATTTTTACAGGAGAATGGTACTTAACAGGTTATTAAATTAATTCCAAGTCTTGAAAATTTGGATGCTGCAGTGGGCGTCAATATTTTCTTTTTATTGTGCTACTTAGTTGATGGAACATGTGCTTCTAGTCAAATAGCCTTTCAGTGAGACCTAGAAAAACCTTTAGGTTTCAGTTATCTTTTTGCTTTTTTTTTTTTTTTAATTCCAAAGTCATGTTTTAAGCAAAGTGACCATATTGGTTTTGGATTCAGCATCTGCAATTTCATTTTCCTTTTGCAGATTAATCCAGTCACTAGATAAGATGTAAAATGTTTTTCATAAAGTAACATGTAGAATGGAATTTGTGTGTGCTTTTCCTGCTCGTTAACTACTCATTATCCTTCTACTTAGAAATGATTATGTCTGAAATGCTTTAGATCCACCCCCAGTATTTCTGTTGATCATCTTGTGCTTGTCACTCCCTAAATGAGTCCCTTCCCAGATAAGGGGAGTTGTTTAATGTAATGTTAACTCCTTTTCTTAAAAACTCCTCTAGGAGACTGTACCTTGCATGAGGTTGCATTGTTTCAGCCCTGAAATGCTTCATTAATTACTCCTTATTCAGTACTTCCACTTGTTCCTGTAAGAAGTTGTGCTTTTTTCCTTGTACAGTTACCTAGGAACACAGTATCTAATGAACCCCATTGAGATGCACGTGACTCTGTGAGAGTAACGAAGATCTGATTGTGTGTATGGCATTGCACAGTATCACATGAAGGTTATGGCTTGCTCTTCTCAGAGTATTTTCAGGGTGTACAAGTTTCCGTTATGAGGTAGCTAATGACCTGCTTGGGGGATGTCATACACACCATGTCCTCAGGTTGTGCCACATTCTGTGAGCTGTTCCTTCTGAATGAGGTGAGGCAGGAAAGTGAGCAAGCATTGCATCATTTGAGAATGGAGTTTGAGTTGCAAAGGCTGTTCATGCCCCTTTGTAAGCTAATTCCTTTGAAACTGAGAACAACACATGATTTAAGAACAGTTTCTTCTACTTGTTGCTCTCCAAAGGTGTCAGAGTGTTTTAAATGCTTCTTGCTTAAGAACTAGGAATTAAAATTAGCATAAGAAAAAGCAATTAGCATAGAAAAGTTGATCAGATATGGGTTTGGTGATCAGGAAGTGAGGTGGATTAGGAACTGGTTGAAAGGAAGGAGTCAGAGAGTTGTAGTCAATGGGGCAGAATCTGGTTGGAGGTGTGTGACTAGTGGAGTCCCACAGGGGTCGGTACTGGGACTGGTGTTGTTCAACATCTTCATCAACGACCTGGATGAGGGTATAGAATGTACCCTCAGCAAGTTTGCTGATGACACTAAGCTGGGAGGAGTGGCTGACACACCAGAAGGCTGTGCTGCCATTCAGAGAGACTTAGACAGGCTGGAGAGTTGGGCGGGGAGAAACATGATGAAATTCAACAAGGGGAAGTGCAGAGTTTTACATTTGGGGAAGAACAACACCATATCCCAGTACAGGTTGGGGGCTGAACTGCTGGAGAGTGGTGTAGGTGAAAGAGACCTGGGGGTCCTGGTAGACAGGAGGATGACCATGAGCCAGCAATGTGCCCTTGTGGCCAAGAAGGCCAATGGCATCCTGGGGTGCATTAGAAAGGGTGTGGTTAGTAGGTCAAGAGAGGTTCTCCTCCCCCTCTATTCTGCATTGGTGAGGCCACATCTGGAGTATTGTGTCCAGTTCTGGGCCCCTCAGCTCAAGAAGGACAGGGAACTGCTTGAAAGAGTCCAGCGCAGAGCTACGAAGATGATTAAGGGAGTGGAACATCTCCCTTATGAGGAAAGGCTGAGGGAGCTGGGTCTCTTTAGCTTGGAGAAAAGGAGACTGAGGGGTGACCTCATCAATGTTTACAAATATGTAAGGGGTGAGTGTCAGGGGGACGGAGTTAGGCTTTTCTCGGTGATGACCAGTGATAGGACAAGGGGTAATGGGTGTAAATTGGAGCATAGGAAGTTCAAGGTGAATATCCGAAAAAAATTTTTTACTGTGAGAGTGACAGAGCACTGGAACAGACTGCCCAGGGAGGTTGTGGAGTCTCCCTCACTGGAGACATTCAAAACCCACCTGGATGAGTTCCTGTGTGATGTACTCTAGGTGACCCTGCTCTGGCAGGGGGGTTGGACTAGATGATCTCTTGAGGTCCCTTCCAGCCCCTAAGATTCTATGATTCTATGATTCTATGATAAGACACTCCTTAAGGAAGTGGCTACATTCACAAAAAAGTCACCACTTTTAAACCAGTGAATAAATAGACAAAACCAAATTTCTGACATTTTAGATGTTCTGTTCTCTTCCTTCTGAATACAGAAAGGAAAAGTCTTCTACCCACTTTTATTTATCATTACGTTAGTATGTGAGGAAAAAAAGTCCGTTCATGCATTGTCATGCATTTTGGGAGAATATGATTGGGAGGGGTTGGAGGAAGGAATAAAGTAACAAGCCAGTTTCAGTAATTAAAATCAGTTAAAATTTGAATGCTGACATTCTTTCTTCCTTTTTTTTCTTTTCAGATGAAGGAAGCTGATGAAAGCCTAGGCTCTGCAGGTGGCCCACCGAGATCAGTGCGCAAAAGAAGAGTACGGAAGGACTGAGTTACTTCCAGCTAGTATTTGTAGATCTATGTAATAGTAACATTTGGTAGCCACTTCAGTGGGCCTAACAGCATGCAAGTTCCTGAGATTTGAATGGAAAAGGGGCACTCATTGCTATTTAACCTCCTGTTTTAATTCTTTAGCCTCTTTTAATCTTCGAAAAATTCCTTTATTCCCTTTTTTAAGGAGAAATACTATCTATGAGGTGTTAGCTGATGTTTCAGCTAAGTCAGAATAAAGGTGAAATCACAAGTTGGTCAACGGATTTTAAGGTGAAGATTGCTAAGTTTTGAAGACTCCGAGAGATTAGTATTAGTTGGAGAGAAACTTATTCTAAGTATTTTTTAAAAACATAAATAAATTATAATATTTTTGCAGCTCTACCACAAAATTAGCTGTTTACACTTTTCAGCAAAAAGAGGATGATAGTATAGATGTAGCATCTATAGCAGTGCACACTGCTATGAGAAAAGGTTTTTTTGTGCTTTGCAGAGCTAAATGCAATAATTGGTTTTGTATGATGATCTAGTGGTAGCAACAATTTTTATTGTAAATTATTTATTTCACTTGATCTTGCTATATGGGTGGTCACCTGTTCTCTTTAGACATTGGTTATAGTAATTTATTTTCAAGAGGTATTTTAAACTAGAGTAGTCATAGAACAAGTGGTAATTGATGTTACTTGTTTGACTTTTGAATGCAGATATCAAATCTACAGAAGTGATATACAGATGATTTTTTCAAACTTTTATAGTTCTCATGTTCCAAGCCAAGACTGGTATAACCTCTGTTTATAGAATACTTGCTAAGTGTACATTTCCTTCTAAAAATATTTAATAATTCTTCCTTAATGTGGAATTTATTAATATAAGAATTTTTGATGGATTACATTTTTTACAGATGTGAGTAATGGAGCATTCTGGTAATTTAAATAAACTGCATATTGTAAAAGAAACGTTGTAGAAGTTCAGCTGTATATTATAACTAAAATAAAACTGCCGTCACCAGAAACCTCTTTCTGCTTGGCAGTTGCCTATAATATTAGTAGGATGTAAAATGCTAGCAAAAGCAGTCATACATTCAAAACAAGTACAAATACATTAATTCATAAGGAACCTAACAGATTTCCTTGTGTCTGGCAAGAATTAATGAAGAAGCCGGTGTCTTCAAGTACTTGTGTAGAAGTGTTCTAAAGTTAATCATATTGCCCTGTATTTTGTGTGAACTATTGGAAAGGCCTCTGGTTTTTTTGTGGGTTTTTTTTGTTTGTTTGTTTGTTTGAAGTGAAATGCAAGTTCTCTGCTTAAATTGAAAAGTTAAGAAGTGAAGGCTCCAGGTTGCTCCTCCTGCGTGCGGCTTGGCTGCAGTAGATACAAGTTGTTACCAACATGGTACACTGCTTGTAGCAGCTACTGTGAGCTGCTGGCGAGCAACCATTTCACACTGCTTTTGAATAGTTTCATCTGAGTCTGGTAAAGTCCTTTGGAATTGTTACAGTATTTGGGTGTAGTTTGGGGGCTTGTTTTTTGTTTGAGTTTTTGGTTGGTTGGTTGTTGTGATACAGTTACTCTAGGAATTGGTCACCCCACAGAGGATGCTAGTCTTCCCTTAGGAGTTTGAACTTAAGGTTCCCCTGAAGTCGTGATTAATGCCCCATCAACATACTTGCCTGTACTTCCCTTCAGTAAACAAGGAGCCATTTATTATGGATAAAATGGTCTTGTGACACCATGACTCAAGGGTGCTGTCTGCAGTAATACTGACTCTGTCAGGCCTATCTCACTTTAATACTGACTTAATGACTTTGATTGCCTGGAGTCTGGAGACAGAAGACATCTTTCTGTACATCAGCTCATGCTAGTAATTAGGGGAAAAATATCAGAGCTTTGTGGATTGAGGCTTTAGATCTAGAAAGCCAGGCAGAAGAGGTACCCCCTTCCACTGACAGTTGTAACATTGAGATTTCACTCACAGGTCCTGCCTGTGGTCCTTTAATATCTGAAAAGGTATTTCGGGAATACCCAATCTTGCTATTATGGCTGCTTAAGTGTTCTGAGCATGAACAAACTAGTAATAATCCTGTTCTAGGATACCTCGCTATTAAACCTGTCAGTCATCTTCAGAAATCCATGAGGGTCGAACTGCAGCAGCTGGAACTCACACTGGTTACATAGTATCTTAGTAAAAGTGCTCTTATTGAGGATGCCAAATCCCAGGCTGAGAACTTCCTATATTCAGGGAAGGCTAAGTAGGACTGAGGCCTTCTTACTTAATTACACCTAAAGCTACTCCTTGGATGTCATCCACCTTCATGATGAAGTAATAATTCTGGTTTCTGTCTAACATGGAGCTTATTACCTGTGTATCAAAAGGTAAAATCTGATTTATTCTAACTTGGCTGAAAGTTCTCCCACATGCAGCGGTGCAGGATTTACAAATGTTACACCAAACTAATTGAGACAAATGAAGTTTTTATTTAGTGTAAAGTCAGAAATACAACATCTTTAAAACGTTCATAAGTTAAATGAAGGCCACAGTAGTGGAATGTAAAATGGTATATAGGTGAAATGACTACTATATACAGACCAGTGACTAAAATATCACTATCCAATCTCACAATACAAAACCATGATTTGAAGTTTACTCGATCTCAGGGAAATGGCTGAAGTCTAACAAGCACATGCTCTGTTACCGCCTGATCTACCGTGCAGATGGAGATGGGCAGTGACATGGAGTTCAAGTAGGATGGCTGTAATGCAATGTAATCTTTGCAAGTCAAGTGTTTGGTGTGATTGTTGGGTGTTAATGCTCAAACTTTGGACTAACCATCTGATCTGCTCTACCTGCTTAGCAATTCCTGGGTGAATTTAGAGTTACAGTAGGCAATACAGTGACAGAGTAGTCCATAGAAGACAAAAGATAATTTTGAATGCTAACAGGACCGCATGACACAAATGGTTTCAGCCATTTGTGGTGTGATAGGTAAAACTTATTTAATCATCAGGTTTTTTGACTCAGACTTGTAAAAAGCCCTTGAGACTGAACTCTTGGTGCTTTGTTTGCAATCATTTTACTTTGCTCACACTCCAGTGCACGCCATACAGTCATCTTAGATGGGGAAAAATTGGAGATCTCTCCTTTAGGAGGGGGAACCTCACAATGTCAGCTTAGACCTGGGACACAGCAGTGCTTAGCTGCCAAAAAACTTGGGGTTTGAGAGGGATTTATTCTACTGTTATATCCACTCATTCAGTTCCTGCAGCTTTATTTGATAGAATCCATCACAGCAAGGTTGAAAGAGATCCTTGAACTAGTGGTTTCCTTTTGCTAAAAGGTGAAGTACAATGGCTTCATTACTGAAAAGACAGGCTTCAGCAACATCCATAAATAAGTCTGCAATGCTGCTATATGGCAAGATGAAACATGCAACTGAGGACTGCTAAAACTTACACTGTTGTTTGTATTTCGGCTTCTGCTCACCCTTAATACTGATCGTGCTAGACATGCTGCCTCTACGGAAGTGCTCAGATCCATAATGTAGGTCGAGCACCTTTAGAAAACCTGCTGGAAAATAGCCAAGCCAGTAAAAAAAACAGGGCACCTTGACACTAGGCACTGCTCAGAGCAGCACAGATTTGAGAGGCAAAAACCACCTTTGTTCTACTGCAGTCTTCTGCCTTGGATGTTTCCATGCAGTGCCTGAGGTACTACACAAGCTCAGGCTCTGGGGCAGGAAAACAATTGCTCTAAAGCCTGAAGCAAAGACAAGTTTGGCACTTCAGAAGAAAAGTAAAAGGTGGCAAGACAAAGACTAGTTCTCAGTTCCTCACTGCAGGCTGTTCAAAACAAGCATGAGGAACATTGCTCACCCTTTTCTGTAAAGCTTATTACTCAGGTTTGTATTTAATTCTTCATTGCACAACTGAAAAACTTCAGGAAGATCATAGATCATGGTGCTGTGCTCAATTCTTTGAGGAAACAGGAAAATGGTTTGAAGTGTATATCTTGCAAACACTGATACTGCCTCAGTTTGGTATTTCTCTGATGTAAGTTGCTTTATCCTTGCTCCTCTTTCCTTACTCTCCCCCTTCCCAAAAAATCTTAAGTGTTTTTCTGTACACAAATTCTGCAAATAATGTCATACTGTTACTACTTCACAGAAATTCTTTACTGGTTTATATGTTTTTGATTAAAGGAGCTTTGCAGAGTTACAAACAGTACTATACAATAATTAAATATATTTAAGGTGAAAAAGGTAATGCAATTAGACTTTGAATATTTTTATCAAATAACTTTCCATACAATATTATAGCTGTATTATTTTGCTAGTCAAGAACACTACCCTAAAACCTCAAACAAAACCAACAGACTTCTGTTTAACCTGAAAAACTGAATTTTTAACAAGATATGCTCGTTTTTAAAACAAATACGAAAGTTTAGTAAGTCTCTACACTACATTTGCACACTGCTCAATCTTAACAATACACAAACTTATGTCTCTTCTTCATGGTAATGTTCTTAATTCTGTTTATCACCTAAGTTTATAATCTTCAGGTATCCAGTAAAGCCACAAACTAAGGTATTTTAGCTCATGTAGTCTATGCCAATTAAAACAAAAAAAGACAGCAGCAATGCAAGGACATTATCTGTGAGTCAACCCTTACTTCCTTTTGCTTTTTGTGTCAGTTGTTTGGAAAACACTAGACGCTGACATCAGATTTTCTATATACTGTCCAAGAACTTGGTTTTCTGATTTCAGTTTCAAGTTTTCTTCCTTAACAGCATCTACTCGTGCTGAGAGATCTGTGAAGGTGATATTATAAGAAAAATATTAGACACTATTGCATACAACAATGAGTATGTTCTATGTGCCTACATCAAACTATTCACACCTTTAGTGGGGGAAACACTGTCATAAGGTATTGTCTTATAAAGCACCGTGCTACCCTCAAGTTTCATCCAAAGCCCATTCTTCCAGTACTATGTTGTAGTACAGTATTGTGACAAACTTACTGGTAGTCCGTATTTTTATTCAATTTTTGAATTAAGCTACTGCAAACTAAACTACTTGGAAACACAAGTTCAGTGATGAGCAGACTCAAAGATGTATGTCAGCAAATGAGCCTGGGAAAGTCAACTGTGTCTCCCCTTCTGCTTGATGTGTATTAGAAGAGTTGAGCAAACGTTACATTGCATAAAGAGGGAGAAAAAGGTAATTGTGAGACCTTGCTTCAACTCTAAGTGACATACTTCCTGGACACTGGCTAAGGTAGGGCAGAACAGAAAGGCTCTCTTCTGCTTATCACTGTGTGCTTGTAAAAAATCTGATGTGTCAAACTGCTAACCTTCGAGTGTGTGCTGCAGTTCCAAAACTTGATTAATAAGCCGTGTTTTCTCTTCTAATTCCACCTGATTCTCAGCCTCAACAGCTGCAATAAATCATACGAGCTTTAATGCAACCTCTGTAACAGGGGGAAATTATATTAAGTAGAAAAAATAACTAGTAACAAGAACATTAAGAACCTATACCATCCATGTCGGCATTCATCATGGTAGAAGGGTCTCTTTCTGCTTTTGAAGAGATTATTCCTGAGAGACGCTCTGCTTAAAGAGAAAAAGAGAGAACACTGAGGCAACTGTTGATGTAACTGTCTTTATATTTGGATTTTAGGTGCACTGTGCTAATTGGTGTTGGAAAGGCAGCACTTAAGCAGTTATTTTTACTAGAGCCTTATGCGGTAGGTAAACACGATTCTTTGAGAGAAGCGTTAAGTTTGGAACGGACCTGAAAGATCATCAAGCTCCAACCCCCTGCCATGAGCAGGGAACCCAACCACTAGGCCAGGCTGCACAAAACCTCTTCCAACCCGGCCTTAAACACCTCCAGGGATGGGGCCTCCAGGGATGGGGCATCAACAACCTCCCTGGGCAACCCATTCCAGCTCCTCACCACCCCCACAGTGAAGAACTTGTTCCTCATACCTAACCTAAACCTCCAGGTTATAGGACCACCCGGTGTACATTACCCTGATGCATTAAATATCCCCGTATTCCCGGGATGCAGCTGCCGCCTTCTTGGCACCGACCTTTCTGGAACTGGCTGCTC